CATTGAAATAATTATTAGCAACTTTAAGTGCTGGATTTCTAAGTTCTGCATGCAATAAAGCAATTTAATGAAGTGGACCATATAGAACTAATCAAGAGCTAACTACAAGCAGTTATACTGGTAACAAAATCTATCTATTTGAAAAAACTACTAAACGGCAAGTTTAAATTTTGACTGCATAATTTAGCTCTGCATAACTTCTAATAATTGCAAAATACCTCTTAGCTGCTTTATTGCACGCAGAATTTAGAAATCCAGCCTTAAAGTTGTTAATATTTTAATGCAGACACTTGCTAATGTTCCCCCATCTACGTCATTGCGTGACCACGCCCATCACCGGAAGTGATTTGACAAGATGTAAGGCAAAAAATTACAAGTTTTGACCCAAGATTTAGTACAGAAACAGTACTTTTTAATAATTTTAGCTATTTTTCCTATCATTCTCTCTTCATTACCAACTTATTCCAGGCAAAAAAATTTTGGGGTGCAGCTACCCTTTAAATAAGAGCATATTTTAAATTAAAGCTACAAAGCTAACCTTTTGTTACATTAATGCATGTTGATTCAGTCTCCATATAAGGGAACACAGCAGACACACAACATGTGTACACAGTATTGGCTAATAAACCAATCAGTGTTGCATTGTTGTTCTTTGTCAGCAAGCTTAGCTCAGTTTTAATATTCAAGTGCAGCTGAGGATCAACAGTCACATTATGTTTACAGTAAACTCTGAAATTGGACACATTATTAGCATCATCAGTGTATTCCCAATGTAATATAATATCTGACTGTTGGCTATTGACAGTAAGATTTGAAGGAGGGCCAGGAAAATCTACCAACATAATGTTACTTAATAGTGTAATCTAATTTTACCTTCACACATAACACCAAAAAAAGCTTCAGTAAATGTACTACAGATGTACTGGTTGTCTGAATCTGAACAATTAAAAAGAAACTTTTCATTCCCATGACATTCAAAATTAGCTTGTAATACTGAAATATTGGCAGGTACTGAAACACTAACTGGCATAGCTCCTATAGAATTACATCATTAAACACATTAGTAATACAATGAATGGGCTCGTACCTATTGTATTCTTTCCTAATTGTCTACATACAACTTGTGCCTGAGTAGAGGACCATGTTGTGCTACATAATGCATGCCACTCTCCATTTACACACAGCAATACAGCATTAGTATCAAGTAATTGTATCTGTCCATTTTGACAGACTGAGGTATTGGTACAATTACTAGCAGCAGCATAACTGCCACATTGGTGATTTGAATGATAATTTGGCTCATACAATTGATGTGAACAGTCTAAAATGTTCTGTTGTATTATTGGTTTATCAGAGCAATCAAGCCATTGTATAAAATGAGGTGTATGATGAGCAGAAGTTATGGTTTTCGCAGTGATCCCTACACATAAAAAGGCAGTGCACTTCATACATGTACAAGTTAATTATTCCATACCATTGTTAGAGTATTTGGAATATCCCATTTGTTGACAAGCAACGTCAGCAACTCTTTCTTGAGCATCACTATAAGCTGCACAGATATATCCCCATCTATTAGCAATACAAATCTGTACAACTGTATTGTTGTGTGCTGGATCATATCTGATGGCTCCTCTAGTACATGTTCCTTCAGCAACTCCAACTGCTACCAAAACTATGTTGAAAAATAGTAGGTAGTTGAACATCACGAAAATTTACTGTATCTTATCCAAGTTGATAAATTTGTAACTGCATAGATATTAGAGTACATTTACTTTCATTTACTCTATTATCTATGGTAACTGCTAGATTAAATCACCACGCCCATTTGGGCGGTCACGTGTATTAATAAAATGGAGGCTCCCAAGGAGGTTAGGAATGATCTGTATCCAATATCTGGCGTTCCTGTTCGCTTTCCATGCAAACCCTATCCCACTCAACTCCAGATGATGTCTAAAGTAAATTAATAGTAACTTTTAAATTCAGTGTAAAGCTAATATGGGTAGGAAAGTGAAAAAATTGTAATTTTTAACCCTTTAAAACGTTTTGTTTTTATTTTTCCTTTTGTTACTCTCTTTTCTTTTTAACCTTCTTCTCTCTTGTTTCTCTTCTCTCTCAGATTATTCAGGCTCTTAATAAAAGTGACAATGCTTTATTGGAGAGTCCAACAGGTAGTGGGAAGAGTCTTGCATTACTCTGCTCCACAATAGCATGGCAGAAACACAACTATGAATCAAAACTCACCTCATCCAATAAACCCAAACAACCCTCATCCACTGAACCCAATACTAACAATACAACCACCTCATGTAACAGTTCTATACTACCTAATGCTGGGGATGAAAATGGAAGGGGGACACTCTGTCAGTGTACATGTCATACTGATATTAAGAAGACTCAAGTTCAATCTACCACTAATACATGTCAACCAATCAATGAGACTATTAACTCTTCACTAGTGACTGATGTTCCTCCTAATACTATTATACCTAATACTATACCACCAGTTATTAATCCTCCTACTAATACTGGTTCTATTGCCACTGGTCCTGATGTAACTGAAGCTAATGTAACTGATACAATTACTATTACTGAAGCTAATGTAACTGATACAATTACTATTACTGAAGCTAATGTAACTGATACAATTACTATTACTAAAGCTAATGTAACTGGTTCTATTGCTACTGGTTCTACTGCTACTGGTCCTGTTGGTGATACTTCATGTACTGTTCAGTCCAATACAGCTACTAATTACCAAGATAATACTACTGCTACTAGTAATAATGGTATGAGTAACTGTTTATTATTATTGTTATTATTATTATTATTATTATTTTTATTTTTATTATTATTATTATTTTCATTGTTATTGAAGGTAAAGACACTACTGTTGATAATCTGCAAGATGACAGTGACAACGATGACAACGATGACTTTAAACCAATCAAGAAACGATTCCGTCCTCTGATCACAAACAAGAAAGCAAAAGTACCAACATAATAACACATTTATACATTCACAATCAATACATAGAATTCACTATTATGAATTCAGTGCATGTAGGTGTTATATTTTTGTTCATTTGTATTATGTAGACCAAGAGGTTCAAGGTTGTGGCAAAGGGTGTGGTTTATGATGATATAGACGAGTCCACTTGTGACTCACAACTCACTCCTAATGAACATGGTCACCCGACATGGAGGATGGTCACCCGACATGGAGGATGGTCTCTGTAAAAGAACAACAAGACGATAAAGAGAAAGAGGTACATTTACCCTCAACACCTGCCCCACTCTTTCTTTATCCTTGTTTACTGATTTAAGAGCTCATCATGTTGTGTGTACATTATGTGTTTGTCAGCTTTCCTTTATTCTTTACTATTATAAACACAGACATGTAAAAGTAGTGTGAATTTGTAAAACAACATAACATTCACATTCACATATACATGTACGTGTACACACATAACAAACCTACAATTTCACACGATCATAATTATATGTATTTATGTTTATAGATGCAACCTGTTTCTATTGTACCAGATCATAGATATTAGAGTAAATGAAAGGGATAGGAAACTTCCGTTCCCGGGAAATCAAGCTATTTACCCTAGAAAGCGGAGGAATCCGGATACTAGTATACTCTAGCTGTTATTTTTTTGAATATTTTCCATCGCCACAATGGGCGACTAGCCTGACTAGGCCTTAATTCGTCCCTTGTAATAGCAAAAGTATGCTTTGCAAAGACAAGATAATGGGCGGAAGACCCAGAATAACTCATCTAGATTCTGTATCTTAAGTCTCTTTAGTCATTACTCGTTCAAGCAGTGAGATAATGGTACCCAACTAAATACGAAAAATTTACTTGTTTTTGAGCATAAAATGTCGAGAAAACAAGCTTTTGGAATTATTAAAGTTGGAAGACCTAAAGAAAAGAATTCTTTAATAGGGGCTTGCTTTAAATCTTTCATTTATAATATTGCTTTTGAGATAATGGGGACCAAAGAACAAACTAGTACTTTTTTAACTTTTAATCGCTAATAAATGCAATAGAAGAGCCTAATCTTGTTATATTTGGCTATAGCATGATAGTGGTCTACCAGCTGATTACTTTGAAGTATCATATGGCACTGCAATCACTACTGTGTGAGTGCTATAGGTGAGAATCAGTGCTGCAGAGATGGAGAGAGCAAGTCTGGCCAGGGGTAACTAGCTTAAGTTGCTAGGCAACCTAATAATCTCAATGGAATAATCCGCCCATGCAACGGAAGTTTCCTATCCCTTTCATTTACTCTAATATCTATGACCAGATCCTCAACCATCAGCCCCTCCCCTTCCCCTCCCCTTTCCTCTTCTTGTCAGTCGTGTGGTTGTAATCCTAATAAGGATATTGATGGTCTTATCATGTTAATGGATATCCCTCAACAACCAGTCACACACAAGTATACTTATTATATACTTTAATATGAGGCATTTTATATACATGTACATGAACCATTATGTTTAAAGGTCATAAATGTATATCATCCATCATCATTAATGTATAAAACGAGACACCAAAGGTGCGTGGCCTCGCCCCTAAAGCTGCTTGGGATGTGTTATACTTAGCTAGCCTAAGCCAGTATATTTAAATGATATAGATCAAAAGTGCTGACAGCCTGGACTAAGCAAGTGTGAAAAGTATGATGGGACTCTAGAATCCCAAAAATTGGTAAAACGTGTTCATAAATTCCCATTAGCATCTCAAGATTTATCACTTATTTATACAGTATATTTATACTTATTGCACTCTCATTTTAAAAACATCATGGGTTTCACAACCACAGCTATTGTTGTGGCCACAATATCATAAACATGCTATGCAAAAAAATAGAAATTGTGCTTTTGAGGCCGAGGGATTATCATAACAGCTAGCTTCCTAGCTGCAGTTACACTAGCTCTTGCATGCTTGCAGAACTGGCAAGCTGCAGGGCCAACTCCTGCTTGGAGGCGTGGCATTAATGCAACAAGACCATGTGAGAGGGAAGCTTCACGTTTTTTTCTCTTCTTCTAAGCGCTATATGATGTTATAATGGCACAAATACTGTTGCCTAGATAGATTGAGTGACTTAAGAGAGTTTAGGATCCTTAGACTAGCCATGGACTAGCGAACTACTGCTACAGCACTTTACTCGGGATGAAATTCGAGTAGCTATAACTCACCAAAAAGGAAGATTTAAAGAGTCCCACACATATTAAATAAATAAATAGCCTTGATCTACTGGGAAAGAGTCTCATTTACATCCAGAGTACTACCGCTATTGCTGGGCATTTTCTCGTGAGTTAAAAAGCTTGTACTACCTAGAGCTGTTCTCGAAACATCTCGAAGCAGTAAAGCAAGACTTTTCCTAACAGAAGAGAAGCTCTCACAGGTTTAGAGCACGCGATTGTAAAGATATACATTCTCAAAGACAAAATCTAGCACACAGAATGAATGAATGACAGACAGACAAACCGAGTACCTAGTCCTCGCCTACGCAAAGCTGGGCGAGGCCAACAATACGTGTTGTTTATACATACATGTATGTTTATGTTCACAGAAGCAGGTACATGTACTTGGAGATTTTGTGTACATGTATATCAGAAACAGTCTTTATTAAAGTACTGAAATTGAATGGGTCTCCATTACATGTTGTATTGTGTTGTGTTATTATGTACCAAAAGCACCTCCAGTACATTATATTGCATAAAGGTACATGTTGTAGCACAATTTTTACATTATAATGCTTATAGATCTATGTCTATGTGCATTCACTATCTGTTAATTTGTAACCAGACCAAGAGCTTTCATGGGTGCAACACAAACTTAATTTATACCATTTGTATTAGCTATGCATTATAATAGCAACAAAATTATAAAATAGTTGATGGAATATAAAATGATTATTAATATTTTCATGACGAAGTTAATTCCTTTGTAACTTGTCATAGTTATCAGTTTCTTCCTCAGTTTCAGCCAGAGAATAAACTGGATCACCATTAACAGTCATTATATTCACATCAATAGGACTCTCATAATCATTAGCATCAGGAATTGCAGGATCCCTCCCATTGGAAAACGGCTCAAATTGATTTTGCGACAGATCAGAATAAATCCCAATATTCTGAGTCTGACCTCTTGACTGATGGTAAACAGTGGATGTGACATTTACATTATCACTTTGTAATGATGACCTTTATAAGTAATACCATATACTTATATAAGTAAAGTATTTGATTATACCTTTTGTTAGGCTTAAATTGTTTGTCTTTACTTCTTCTTGTAATGACAATTTTGATAATCAATAGTAAGATAATAACAAACACTGCACTGATAATGATACCAATGAATATTCCACCAATCCATGAGATAGCTCCATTTGATGATGATGATGCTACAGTAGCAGTAGCTGTAACAAAATACACAATAATGAAACCATTAATTTTATATTCTTTAAGTTACCAGCAGGAGTAGATGATAATGTAGAAGAATTGCTAGAGCCAGCTTCTTGAAACCCTGCAAATAGAATATATTTTAAATTAAAATTACAAAGCTGACCTTTTGTTACATTAATGCATGTCGATTCAGTCTCCATATAAGGGAATACAGCAGACACACAGCATGTGTACACAGTATTGGCTAATAAACCAATCAGTGCTGCACTGTTGTTCTTTGTCAGCAAGCTTAGCTCAGTTTTGATATTCAAGTGCAGCTGAGGATCAACAATCTTGTTATGTTTACAGTAAACACTGAAATTGGACACACCATTAGCATCATCAGTATATTCCCAATGTAATATAATATCTGACTGTTGGTTATTGACAGTAAGATTTGAAGGAGGACCAGGCAAATCTATGAGTAGAATAATTATTTAACAATAGAATCAAACTTTACCTTGACACATAACACCAGCTACAGTTTCAGTAAAAGAATTACTACAGGTGTACTGGCTGTCTGAATCTGTGCAGTTACAAAGAAACTTTTCATTCCCATGACATTCAAAATTAGCTGGTAATACTGAATAATTGGCAGGCACTGGGACTGTGATAGCTCCTACAATTATTATACACATATCATACAGAATGAGCTTCTTCTATACCTTTTGTATTCTTTCCTAATTGTCTACATACAACTTGTGCTTGAGTAGAGGACCATGTTGTACTACATAATGCATACCACTCTCCATTTACACACAGCAATACAGCATTAGTATCAAGTAATTGTATCTGTCCATTTTGACAGACTGAGGTATTGATACAATTACTGGCAGCAATATAGTAGTTAGGACATGTCAGATTGGGCCGATAGCGATAGCTATAAACTTGATGCGAGCAATCTAAAATGCTCTGCTGTGGAATTGGTTTATCTGAACAATAAATCCATCCAATAAAACTAGGTTTAGGAGCAGGATTTAATCTTATCCGAGTGATGCCTACATGATGGCACATCATAACAAAAAAAATCAACTTAAACATAATATATACATGTACCAGTATCAGATTCAGAGTGTCTAGAATATCCCATCTGTTGGCAGATTATGTTAGCTATTCTTTGCCTGGTTTCTTTATTATTGTCTGTACAGATGTATCCCCATCTATTATTAAAACATATCTGTACAACTGTATTACTGTATTCTGGATCATATCTGATGGCTCCTTTAGTGCATGTTCCTTCAGCAAATTCAACTGCCACAACAGCTATGCTGACACAGATAAGGAAGTGGGCCAACTGGTACCTCTTGAACAACATATTGAAATGTACCATAGTTTACAGCTTTCTAGGAAGTTACTGAGCTATTGCATGTGCATGTTGCTGTATGCTTATATACACACGTACACCAGCTATGATAACCACACCCATTGAGCAGTCAGTGAGTCACATGATGCGTATAAAATGTACAATAATGGTAATAAAACTGAAATACACTTTAACATTAAAAATTAATGCCCCAGTTAATTCCTTTGTAACTTGTCATAGTTACCAGTTTCTTCCTCAGTTTCAGCCAGTGAATAAACTGGATCATCATTAACAGTCATTCTATTCACATCAACAGGACTCTCATAATCATTAGTACAAGAAATTGCAGGATCCCTCCTATTAGAAAAAGGCTCGAAATAATTTTGCGACAGTTCAGAATAAACTCCAATATTTTGACCATTATCATTTTGTATTGATGACCTTTAAAAGTAATACCATTATAGTGTTATAAAATAAAGTAGTTGATTACCTATTGTTGGGTTTAAATTGTTTGTCTTTACTTCTTCTTGTAATGACAATTTTGATAATCAATAATAAGATAATAACAAACACTGCACTGATAATGATACCAATAAATATTCCCCCAATCCATGGGATAGTTCGATTTGATGATGATGGTGTGGCACTAGCTAAATATAGAATAATTTTAAAGTTAAAATAATTAAAAGCTCACCTTTTGTTACATTAATGCATGTTGATTCAGTTTCCATATAAGGGAATACAGCAGACACACAGCATGTGTACACAGTATTGGCTAATAAACCAATCAGTGTTGCATTGTTGTTCTTTGTCAGCAAGCTTAGCTCAGTTTTGAAATTTAAGTGCAGTTGAGGATCAATAGTCCTATTATGCTTACAGTAAACACTGAAATTAGACACATTATTAGCATCATCATATTCCCAATGTAATATAATATCTGACTGTTGGGTATTGACAGTAAGACTTGAAGGATGGCCAGGCAAGCCTATAAATAAAATATTACCAAAATTAATAATAATACAATCAAACTTTACTTTGACATGTAACACCAGCAACAGTGATTTCAGTTTGAGATATTAGATTATCACAGGAGAATGAGCGATGATCTGAACAGTTGTAAAGAAACTTTTCATATCCATAACATTCAAACTTAGCTTGTAAAACTGAAATATTGGCAGGTACTGAAACATTAACTGGCATAGCTCCTACAATAACATTTGTACACAACTCATCATAATGCATTAGTATCTGTATACCTTGTGCATTCTTTCCTAATTGTCTACATACAACTTGTGCTTGAGTATAGGACCATGATGTACCACATAATGCATGCCACTCTCCATTTACACACAGAAATATAGCATTAGTATCAAGTAATTGTATCTGTCCATTTTGACAGACTGAGGTATTGGTACAATTACTAGCAGCAATATAGTGGTTGTAGTTATCAGAACAAATTGAATCGGAATAAGCTGGCTCATAAACTAGATATGAACAATCTAAAATGCTCTGCTGTGAAATTGGTTTATCTGAGCAATAAAGCCATCCTATAAAACCAGGTTTAGGAGCAGGTTCTATTTTTATCTGATTGATCCCTATCACGTGGCAAATCATGACATGAAATCAATCAATTTAACATCAGTACATACCAGTATCTAAGTGTCTAGAATATCCCATCTGTTGACAGATTACATTAGCTATTCTTTTCCTTTGACTTTCACTACTGCTTGCACAGATATATCCCCATCTATTATTGGCCTCGCCCAGCTTTGCGTAGGCGAGGACTAGGTACTCGGTTTGTCTGTCTGTGTTTCATTACCCGAGACCGCGTAGGCGTTGGTCGAGGGTAAAGCAGTCGTCCTGTCTGTGTGTTCGCTTTGACCTCCACTTTTGAGCTGACACTGCTTTCTTGTCTTGTCCTAGAGAGTCTTATAATCAACACTGGCTCTAGAAAAAGTTATTCTCTGTCTTGGGAATCCTTGATTTGTCTTTTCCGTGGTAAAAGAAGCTGGCAAAGTCGCCAAACGTAGTCGGCTCTCCTGCAGCTCTTTCGTAGTGAAAGCAAAAGAGCAACAGGGCAGATAAAACAATAAAGCAAAGCCTCATCTTTCATTAATATGAGAGGAATTGCTCCACAATCTTCTTCGTTTTAAAGATATGATAGCCCAAACTTTCATACCTTGTGAGTTTAGACGAGGCTCTCTTCTCCCGAAGTAGCGGCCAGAGTCTTTTAACATTAGGGACTAGATAGCAGTTTGTATGCAACAAATAGAGCCTAACAAATGTATGCTAAACTGTTTAAAAGTCGAGAAAAACTAAAGCTTTCTTCACCACTCTAGGGCCATGTGCCACCATTTACTGTGTGTGCGGGTGGAGCATGGCTTGATTGAGCCACACCTTCATTGCAGCCACACCTTTACATTGCTGCAGCTAGCA